TGATTGACTGGTTTTGTAAAGGCCACCTTTTGATTGAATTTAACGCTCGCAATCTCTATTTAATTTGAGAGGTGACATGGAACATTTTTCCGAATTAGCTACTTTTAATTTCAATTTAATGCTACACGTACACAAGAGAGGATGTCATTATCTATCGAACAAATTTGGCGAGTCGCCCAAAATTCGATTTCACCCCTACTTTCATATTTTATGGCCCAATATGTGCTAATATTTGTGGTGTAGTTTTTGTGTCAAAATATATTTTAGTTTTCGGGAAATAATTTTTTTCGTTGGACCGCTCAAATATGCACATTTTCACCGTGAATATTACCCGAGTTGTGTGACCTCATGTAACAAATTTACCGTTATTTCTGTCTCCACAAAAGTCTTTTGTTTTATTTTCTTAACTTAATCCCTTGTCATTATTGAAGCCGGCTAAGAAATTTATTTTTTGGTGAATATTTTTGTCCGACATACTTTTGTTGTGTCGAAAAGTAACATCAAAACAAAGACAGTTTTAACAATGACCGATATGACATGAGCTTCAAGCTTTTAGAAGAAAAACGATGATTAAAAAGTTATTTTAACATTTCCTTGTGTATTTGTGTTGTTCTGTCTTGAGACGAACTCAAAGTCTGGCAAAATTTACTTGCCAGCTACTATGAAATATACATTGTGTGCTTACTTGTCGCAACCATTTATTGGTATAAATTACTACAATTTGTAAAAAAGTCTAGTATAACATTGTTACCTTGTTTATTTATGATTTTATTCGCTTTTTCGATGATTATATCACGCCTGGGTATTACTTTTTGACAGGAGCCCAGGTTTTGCGTTTTGTTTTCCCCTCTACAATTTATATCATAAGCTAGTCACGCAATAATTGATACCGACACAAATGAATCTTTACCCTGTATAGCGATTTTTGTTTCTGTTGAATTGAAAAGATTAGAATATGTGCTTTTAGCGGTCACAAATCGTTGTTTCAGCGGCAGCGACGCAGTTAAAAGCGGGTTTGTTGCTTTAACACTATTGAAATTTATAGTATTCAGACAGGAGATAAGAGCGTGATGCTCTGGGAAAAACAAACTTTTAGGGGCCTTTTAAATGATATCGGAATGAGTGTTGTTAAAGAATGAGTTCATACATCAGCAAAATTCCCCAATACCCCAAGAGGTAAGAAAAAGAAAAGAAAAAACAAAACTAAACAAAACACAGAAAATTGTTTACAATAAGATATCAAAGTAGAAGCAAATGAAGTAAAGAGGGTTTTTTGTCTTCGATGGGCTGAGGTCAAACTTAAATTGAATTTTTCTTACCTTTAATGATTGACTGGTTTTGTAGAGGCCACCTTTGATTGCATTTAATGCTCGCAATCTCTATTTAATTTGAGAGGTGGCATGGAACATTTTTCGGAAATAGCTACTTTTAATTTCAATTTAATGCTACACGTCAATCGAACAAATTTGAAATATTTTGGCGAGTCGCCCAAAATTCGATTTCACTCCTACTTTCATATTTTGTAGCCCAATATGTGCTAATATTTGTGGTGTAGTTTTTGTGTGAAAATATATTTTAGTTTTCGAGAAATGATTTTTTTTCGTTGGACCGGTCAAATATGCATATTTTCACCGTGAATATTACCCGTGTTGTGTGACCTCATGTAACGAATATACTTAACCTCTGGTATTTCTGCCAACATAATCCTTTGTTTTATTTTCTAAACTTAATCCTCTGTTATTATTGAAGCTGGCAGAGAAATATTTAAAGCTTAATCGTTGTTTCAGTGGCAGCGAAGCAGTTGAAAAGCGTGTTGTTGCTACAACGCTATTGAAATATAAAGTATTCAGACAGGAGAGAAAGCGTGATGCTCTAGGGAAAAAAAAAAGAAAGAAAAAAAACTTTTAGGGGCCTTTTACATGATATCGGAATGAGTTTTGTTCAAGAACGAGTTCATACTGGTTGCCACATGATACCAGAGTAAAATTTATTCGAAACGAATCATTTCTGAATGAGTTTAGGGACTTGTCAGAAATTAGCAGGGGGGAGGGGGGGGGGGTGGAAACAGAGGGGGGGTCACAACTTTTTGAGCCTCAGAAAAGGGAGGGGTCATGAAAAATGGGCAGTTAAAAGGGGGAGGGTCATGCAAATATATGCCCGTGATCATGTAGAGGTTCACCCACAGAAGAAAAAGGAAGTTCTTTATTTGGCAAAAAAAAGAGAAAAATACAACGGTTTACGGAACGTTATGGATATAAACTGTGAAGTACTATAGCAAGAATTTAACAAACATGTACTTTTCATTTATAACAATGCTATATAGTCTTATTGAAATTATGAATAATGTTGTTATTAATAATGTTAGTAGAGTTCTGGCTATCCTATTCATCACTGTCTTGAGCATCACCATCAATGCTGCTGTGAGGATCTTGATCATCATCATTTATCTCATCAGCATTGATACAATCAATCAAATGTATGTATGTAGCATGACAAAGAACAGATAAGAAATATATTTTGAGTTTTCATAATACTGACGCACCCTAGTGTATTGCAAGAACTAGATTTTATCATTTATACAAGAGGGGGAGGGTCATGATATTTTAGGCCAAGCTCAAGGGGAGGGTTAGCAAATTTCACTCCCATTGCAGGGATGGGTCACCTAATTTCCGAACCCAAATTTAAAATTCCCACCCCCCTCCCCCCTGCTAATTTCTGACAAGTCCCTTATTTGGGCTATTATTCCAGAATGAGGTACGACACCTATCTCTATGAATCCTCTTTAGAGCGAAGGAAGCATAGAAAAAGACGGAAAGGACATAAATACTTGCTCTTACAGGCTAAATTATCTTGCATGTAAACGCGGTACGAAATTCATTTCGTTCCGGAACGAGACTCATTTTAGAATGGTCTGAAAGGTACCTTAGGGATGAATTATTAGATTTTTGAGGTTGGGGCGACTGGGGCAAATCACGTTTTTTTCACTAGGGGGCAAATCTTTGTTTTTAGGTGTTGACTGGGTAGGAAGGGGGAGAAGGCGGTTGGAAATGGGTGAGAATGCTTGTCGTAGGGGGTCAAAACCAGCGATCTGGTACCTTTTATGGCGCCTCAAACTTAAGTGGACTACCAAAGACCTGGCTGGCATGTTTTAGGGTGTTTTTCGTTCAATAAAATACCTGAAATAAGCATTACTAGGATGGTTTTAATGATCTTACTTGAGCCTGTAGAGCACATCGATCAAGGCGTTTTTATTTTGGGGATTTTTCATTTTTTTGCTTTTGAATTGGTACTTTTGAGGGGTAGACATCGACGTGCACCCCCGCCCTGTCATGTGAATGTGTCCCCCGGGGGGTGATGATACACTTGAAAGCAAGGACAAATTTTGATGTGATTTTTGGTGGAGATAAACAGGTTTTTTCAGCGTCTAGTAGCTTGTGCGGAAGGGCCCTTTATCTCCGTGTGCATAATTACGCGTCCCGCCAGAGGCGGGATGCCAACAAAGTGTTCAGACATCAGTATAGAAAACTCCGCTACTGTCTGGATTTTTGGTAGCCTATCGATCAATTCTTAATCGATACTTAGGTCCGACGGGACGCGTAATTTTGCTCACGGTAGGTAAGAAGCCTATTTACCGGAGCCAGGTTGTACTAATTTTCCAGACATATTGAGTGCTATCTGATACACGCTTGCCAATTCCCCTATCGGCTTTTGCAATCGACTTAACCCTACCTTTACAATGGCTGAACACGTCTTTGGGCACTCAACATCTATTATTGGAAACACAACTCCGCCCAAATTTGTAAAATCATCGATAAAAGATGCCGGCATGCAACAAAATTAGATCAACTTCATTTTCTGGATCTGAAAAATTGTAACTCCGTAAGTCACATGAAATGTCTTTTTTACAACTACGCAAGGAACGACTTGAGATATGCAACTTCATTTTTTCTCGATAACTAAACCCACAAGATCCACCGGCGAACAATTTAAATGGACAGCAAATCTCCATGATAGCATTTGAGGTAAGACGCTTATACAACAGATGAATTAGCTAAATCAGTGTGTAGCTTGTCAATCAAACCATTTTTTGACTTCCGCGGACAGAGGAATCATTGATGGATCTGGACATTTTAGTTTTCTGAAAGCAGTGATTCCTGAAAGGTTTCTTTTGAAACCATGCAAAGAGGAAAAAAAATCCATCTCTTGGTATTTCGGAGGTTGATTCATCTTTGAATTTATAAGTGTCACGCCTGTCATGCAACTGATATAATAAGATGGAGAAAATATATAAACTGGAACTCAAATCTGGCCGGTGGCCGGAATATGGTAAAGCATAACGTGATCATCGAAACAGCTAATGAAATCATAAATGAACAAGCTAAGAGTGTTATGTTAGATTTTTTTAACAAATTGTAGTAATTCATGCCAGTAAACGGCGACAAGTAGGCACGCCTTGTATATTTCACAGTCGCTAGCAAGTAAATTTTGTCGGACTTTGAGTTCGTCTCAAGATAGAACAAAACAAATACCCAAGGACATTTTTACACTGACTTTTTAACCATCCTTTTGTCTTTTAAAAGCTTGAAGCTCAGTAGATTTTGTCATATGGGTCATTGTGAAAACTGTCTTTGTTTTGATGCTACTTTTCGACACAGGATAGGTATGTTAGCCAAAAGTATTCACCAAAAAATAAATATTTCTCTGCCAGCTTCAATAATGACAGGGGATTAAGTTTTAGAAAATAAAACAAAGGATTATGTTGACAGAAATACCGGAGGTCAAGTATATTCGTTACATGAGGTCATACAACTCGGGTAATATTCACGGTGAAAATGTGCATATTTGAGCGATCGCACGAAAAAAAATTATTTCTCGAAAACTAAAATATATTTTACACCATACTTTAAATCTGTCAGATTGAAAATCAAATCCAATCGCGATCTTGGTCACTTGCGTTCTCTCACGCTTTGGGAAGATAACCCGTTCTTTACTCCTCCTCCTGATTATACTCCTTACTTTTATTTTACTTTGATTTTGGTTTTACAACACTCAACTGAAATGCTTTCTGAGAGAAAACCCAGTTGACTGGGCATATTTAAAAAAAGATATTTACGTTAAACTACTTAATTGTTCTTCGTCTCGTTTCTGATTTATAAAAGACTCCTGTTGATCAAATAACTTTTCGTTTTCCCCCTTACATCTGACACTCCCAGTGGTGCATGTAGCAATACATCGTTTGTTCTCCAGTTGTTAGGGTACCATAGCAAGAACACTTGTAGGTTCTCTTTCCAGCTGAAATGGTGCTTGATAATTGAGCAACTTTCGCGTCGTTTGTATCACAGTTTGCGCCAATAAAGATTTTACCCTGGCAGGGAAAAAAAAAAAAAAGAATATAATTATGATACTGATGATAATAATAAACTACGTCAAGAGTTCGAAAAACGGTTGAGCAAAACATTTCTTCCCTCTTCAAAGGGTGTACACACGTCGTGACGAAAGCTGACGCCTACAATCTAGGCAATACTTATTGTGAGTTTTCCATGCCGAAATCGGAAATCACAAATACAGCTTTCACGTCTAGGAACGTAAGAAGAGAAAAATCCACGTATTTGCTAATACTGGCCTTTGAATGTACGCTGGATTACTGGTTCCCTCAGCAGGCAGGTCGTTCGTGCAAAATCGATTTTTGTTCTCACTTATATGAGTCATGATATGAAAAAAATGATATTTGCAAACGTTTTTTTGTTCCATGACAGGCCGAGGATATCATTGCTTGGTGTGGGATTAGAGAAATAACCATAGATAGACTGAAATGTATGAAATTGTGGGGAAAAAAATTGGAACGGTAAATATTGTCTTGACTGTTAAAGTCGCGACCCAATTTCCTGAAACACGAAACTCCCAGATCACTGATAACCTTCTAAAATCTTCTTTCTCAAGAGCAATCCTGGACATATAGTCAACTGTTTCACGGCAAATACATTCGCCGTTCGTCATTTTACAGTTTCCTTACAGTATTTTGAATTTTGTCCGGAAGAATCCGAAGAAACCTTTTTTTAAGTGTCACGCTTGGATATCTTCGTACTATGTGAACAGAGTCGGCGAAAAGAACATCGTTCAAATTTTTTCACTTTCTAGAGGCTCTTGAGGATTCTAAATGAAGATAAAATATTTCCAATAGAAATTGTTATATTTCAAAGAGAAATATGGAAAAATATCAGACTGCCGGACGTTTCGAAGTGTCCGGTGAAAATTTCTAAGTGTCACGCTTGGATCTCTTCGTACTCTGTGTACAAGGTCAGCGAAACGGATAACGTTGGCATTTTTTCACTTTCTAGAAGCGCTTGGGGATTGTAAACGAAGGTAGAATATTTTTCAACGAAAAACTGGTATATTTCAAAGAGAAATATGGAGTTATTTGAGGACCGTGTCCAGCCGTGTCACTGAAAAGTTTTTATGTGTCAAGCGCTTGGATGGCTTCATACTCCGTATACAGGGTTAGCGAAAAACATCAAGTTCGAAATTTTAGGCTGCCTGAAAGCGCTTGAGGATTGTAAATGAAGGTAAAACATTTCCGTATAAATATTTTTTTGATTTCGAAGAGAAATAAGGAAAAATATCGGACTGCCAGATGTTTAATTATTTTAAGTTTAGTCACTTCATTGCACGAACGTCAGCGACACAACAAGGATGGCAAACTTCAATTTAAAAAAATTGATGAATTGATGAAAACGTGGTGGATCATCATTTTCACCTTTTTCGAAATACTCGCAAGGATTTTCGCGTTCCTCTTTAGAAACAACCGAGCCATAAACGTTTACTGCCTCGGAATCTACTAAATCAATGGATTCATCTGATTCCATACAGGATTGAAATGTATAGAACTGTTTTAGACAGAATTATTTTCATAAGCTCTTCAAATTAATCGGAGAAAACGCAGAAGGTATTTTGAGACGTGTCAAGGTAAAAATAACTGACCAATCAGAGGCGCTATTTAAACAAAAGCGGTGGTTCAAAACAAAAACAAACGACCACGTTGCATAAAGGTTGGAAATGGGCCCTTAATATGTCGTAAAGTAATTTTCAATAGAAGTTTTTTTTTTCCGTCAGAATCAAAAAACCTTCACAATCTTCAACTCAACTTACATTTTGTTCCGTCGCTACAATTTCTTGTTGGGCGATCGAATTTACTGCCATACCAGTGCTGGATAAAGTCTTAAAAACACAGGAACTGGTCCCAGGTCCAGGTGGACCCTGGGTACCATTGAACCCAGATGGTCCACGGAGACCCTGAACACCAGGTAGTCCAGATCGTCCTGCAGGGCCCTGAGTGCCATTAAATCCTGGAGGTCCGGGAGGTCCGGCAAGTCCAATGTCACCCTTTGTACCATTATATCCTGGAGGTCCTTCAGGTCCGGCAGGTCCAGTGTCACCATTAGTACCATTGACTCCAGGTGGTCCTCTGATGCTCGTGCTGCCAGTAGTATTTTTCACCTATGCAATTAAAAAAAACAACAACAACAACAATGATATTCACAGTAACCACTGCAATGACTATAATGATGAAAATGATTACAATTGTAGTGATAATGACAATTAGCACAGTTACAGTGAGAATGATAGTGACAGGGAAAGTGACAGTGACATTCACATTGACATTGACTGTTACAATGAAAGTGAGTGACAGTGACAGTGACGGTAAAAGTGAAAGGGAAAGAGACAGTGATAGTGATAGTGACGGTGACGGTGCGTGACAGTGACAATTACAGTAAAAGTGAAAGGGAAAATGACAGTGACAGTGACAGTGACAGTAACATTGACAGTGATAGTGATAGTAACAGTGACAGTGGCAGTGATAGTTGCACTGACAGTTAATGTGACAGTCACAGTGACAGTGACAATGACAATAGCAGTGAAGGTGGCAGCGGCAGTGAAAGTGAAAGTGACAATAAAAGTCAAAGTGATAATGACAGTGGTAGTGAAAATGACAGTGATAGTGACAATGACCATGACAGTGACAGTGGCAGTGACAGTGGCAGTGGCCCTGCCAAAGTGGGAGGCTCTTATATAGCAAAAGTTGTATAGAAGAAAAACAACATTGACTTAAGTTGGTTGTGAGAAATGCTCAGTTTGTTTTTGTTTTTGTTTTGTTTTTTTTATCATTTATATTGGAGACCTTTACCATGCTTATTTGCTCAATGTTGGATTTGTGAACTAGGGAATTTTATCTCTTTATAAATTGGACTGATGGTGGAATGGTCACCACAGATCAATCAATCTGTCTATAGGCTTACACCACACCACCCCTTATCACTGATATATCTATACCTTAAGTCAATGGTCAAGATATTTTTAAAACTTTTAGAAGTTAATCACACTTGATTGTTCCTACTTTTGACTCAATCATATGTTTTTGTGCTCTTTGGCCCCTCAAACAGGCTCTTTAAGCCAGTACATACAGTCGTTTTGAAGAACTTTTTGAACAATAAGCTAAGTCGTAGGTTAAAAGCTTAAAATTAGATACAAAAAAAAAACCCCTGCCATTCCACAGACATTAAATAAATGTAAACGGGTCATTTTGAAAACAAATTTAAAATTTGCTGGGGTGGCCTTGCTTGAATTTGAATGTTCAACCTTGACTCTTGCAAACTGTGAGGGGTTATATGTTTGTCAATCTTCAAAAATCCTCTTTAACTCATGCTGGAAAACAGTCTCTGTTTTTCTGATGAATGGTTTACTCTTACTGATGATTTACAATCATCATCATCATTATTATTAATATTAAGATGATCAATACAATTATTAGAGGTGAATGAATAGAAAACTTACATTTTTCTTCAGTTCTTTTACATCCCCTGAAACCTATAACAATAAAAAATGTAAATCAATATTCCAGATTGAGTTTCTTTGTACAATAACACTTTCTTGTGATTTCTTATTCATAATGATCTAATGAGGATGATGGCTATAGACTGAGGTGATATGATAAGGTCCAAAGTTGGTTAAAAAAATTAGGAGAACACTGATAATGTCTGCAACAATGACACCCAAGAGGACCTACAGTAATGTTTATCAGGCTCCCCCAGGCACACAACAGCCTGATTACAAATAAAATTTAGATCACCCCATTGAAAAAGTTAAAGTAGAAGAAGTGTAGTGTTGTTGATACAACAATGATGCCTCTAGCCTGTGCTCCAGTGAAGTATTAGAGCTGTTTGAAATCTACATTTCTATACCATATTTACTAATTAATAGTCAGCAAGTTAAAAGTCCTCTTGAGGCCCTCCGTCTTACGTACATACATGTACCCATATATTTCACGTCAGTGCACTTTTGCTTTAAAAAAATCACTGCTAATGATTAATAATTTCTCCTACCGAGTAATCTCTGAATGCAGAGAGGTTCCTTTTCAACTCTTGTACATTCTTTTGAAATTCTGACGTTTCTAGAAAAGGGGAAACAATAAGAAAAACATAGAAAATGTATAAAAAAAATGATGAAGGATTTCAAATAAAAAGATGAACAGATAAATAAATAGATAAAAGATAAAGCAATTAACACATGTTAAAGTTTTATACGTTGATAAGCAAATATTGACACCGTTCACCAAACATCTTTTTAATACAAAAAGGGAGAAATACGACCAACTTAATTATTCTTGAACTATTGCAAACAATCACTATCAAGAGAATTATTTGTTCATTTCTCAAAAATTTGGTAAGCAAAAGGCCTTTTTTCCTGCTTGTTAAATGTAAACGATCTTTCCAAGTTAGTGCATCATTCGTAAGGAAGAAGGTACATTGTATGCCTATAATAACAGCACTACATTTACGAGAAATAATGTCGAAATTCAGAAGAAAAAGAAAATTTCGATCTGCACCTGGAAAAGAGTCGATTATGGCTTGAAGCATTCTAGGTTCCTTCGAATTTGACAATAGTTTGTTAGTAACGCTTCACCCAACGAATTTTCGATAAGATTCTGACAAAATTCTACGTTAAAGTCCGGAAAAAAATGAAAGAATACGAAGCCTACTCACTTCGCATTGTGCAGGCATCACTCGACAGGTATCTCCGCCGAAAATATTATTCGGCATCCATCAGCGGGCAAAATGTCAGAGATGCCAAGGCCAAAAAAATTTGCCCAAGAGAGCTCAGCCGTACACTCGAGTAGACGAAGAACTATTTTAGAGTGAAGGAAAATTTTAAAGTCACAATGATGTTGCCTTTACAAACGTTACTTTAAAGATCTGGCAGATTATTTAATTGGGTTTCAGAGGCCGCTAGGACTACAACGCTTACGTTGAAGGTTTTTCCATTTTGCAAATGGCAGCTGGTAGCAAAGTTGTTCAGTTTAAAGAAAATCCAACCAAAACCAGGCAAGGCGGATTGAGAAACAAAACCCGAAGTTTTCTTCAGCAAACGTGGTACACCAATGGTGGTGAATGGGAACTCATTACCAGCAATCCGAGACATTTTACTCCCGCGGTCCGCGAGGTCAGTAGTTTCTTCAGGTTCTACTGTTCATGCGCTATGGCGTCAGATTTCATGTAAACATGGAGCGAAGTAGATTTCCGCGGAGGAATCGAGTTGATTATAAAGCACTAAATGTTCTTTCTACAGTGGATTTAGAAGTTCATTTGAAAGGAAGGAGAAAATTTAAAAGCGGATCTAAAGTTTATTTTGTGGAGAGACTTATCAGCCGGCGAAGATTGAAGAACGAGGTATGTGTATTGACCCTTTTATGTTCACAGTGATACAAGTTTTGTTTTTTATAATTGGCGCGATTTGGCGCTTGTAGGAGTCTGCAGATTGTTAAAACAGCGGTAAAAAGCGTGGAAATGCTAGGCTGCTAAGCTGAAGTAAATAGGTCAGCATTAGATTCCATCCACCAAAACCACCTCGGTCGAGAGGGACTGAGGTGGAATATTTAATGACTTGCAAAACATAACCGAAGATTCTCGGAAATCCGCAAGTGATGTAGCCGAACATTCGAAGCTGTAAATCCCATGATTCTTGAGGAACAAACAGAAACAGCATAGCGAGAATTTTAAGTCGCGAACCATTGCTTGATGGTAGACATGCAGATAATTTAGGATACGTCAATTCTGTTGATGAGGCGCATAAACTTATTGCGGAATTTGAAACAGGATTGACGACGAAGTTTTCTTTCTCTAAAGCTGTCAAAGGTTTCGGGAACACCGGTGTATATATATATATTGATATAGCTCTTTGGCATTACAAAGCTTTGCTATCGCTATTGTGCATTCTCACTAGTTTATCTAGTTCAAGTCCTCTGGCATGGCTTGGATGATACCACAATTGTGGAATCATTCGGGTTAACTTAATGCTTACAACTCCTTCCTCGGACAGAAGTCACAAAATACTCGGGGAAGATGCATGAGATATTTAAGGAGCAAAAATTCGTTTTTTACTGGTGTGCCTTTCCTAATTTTGGGAAGGAAAGTGTTCAATTGCCAGCACGGCATAGATAGAACAGCTGGAGAGAAAAGGAAACGAAAATATGCAGAAGAAGTACTATATATAATAATTTCTTTTTATCCTCAACCTTTGTGTTACTGTCAACTATGGCTTGCTAATTCTAAAGGTCAAATACATGAATGGGTCATATGACATTGATCTCAGAATACTTTTATGACAAACGTGATAACAGTTCAATCTTGGCTAAATTGAAGATGGTTAGAAGTTAACAATTATAAGAACTTTTCACTAACATATGCTGCTGACAAAGGAGAAAATATATGCAATTCTGCATTTTTTGCTTTCTATCAAGCAATCACATATTGGCTCCTTATCACACTATGACACTTCCGTTTTGTCACATTCCAAAAAATAACTTGAGAAATACACTGTCACTCATCTTACACTGTTATATTTACCTATTACAGAAGGCTGGAAACAAAGATTTTGTTTTCAAGAAAATAAGATTTCTTGTCCAAGACACAAGGAAGTTTGACTGCAAAACACAGATAAAAATGCGAGAAATTTTATTTTTTTCAGAGAACAAGGTAGTTCTACTCATGTATAAACAGAACAAATCTGGTTTAATAAATCAGATATGCGGCATGACTCCTTTTCTTCCATCCCCACTCAAAACAAGCAAACACACTTATAGAGGTTCCAGTCTGGTCTGCAAATGAAAAGGAGGAAGGTGATCACTGCAAAATTAAGCATTAGGGTTCTTATTTATAACATATTGATTTTGTATACTGATATCAAGAAATTAAGGTTGCAAGTAGCAGCCAGCTGAGTTTTTAGTTTGAGTTTTATCAATTCCATTACTTTGTTAAATTTAGAGTAACCTTGTCTTGAGAGAGGGAAATTGAGGAGCTGTAATATACTTATCATCAATTAGGGACCACAAAGAAAAATTTATTTATAGAGACTTTTGAAGGAGAGGGGTAAGACTTGTGACAAGCTGGCAGACATATACTAGATAAACTTTACTGCTAAATGGGTTACAATATAAAGTGCTCAGTATTTGGATCAGCTATGGCTCAACTTAAACTTTGCTTTAACTTCAAGTTTAATCCTTTGTGGTTTCCTTTCTCTGTGTTTGTTTTTCAAGTTATGTTACACAAAAGAATACAAAAATGACAAGGAATGCTTTTGAATATTAAGAGGCTGGAATAAGCAAGAAACCAAAACTGAATTTTAAACAGTACAAAGTTAATTTGATCTTCCAATGTTATTTAATTTTAACCATTAATAGAATTTGCTATTTAAATTTATCCCCTCCATTTTTCTGGATATTGTGAGCAAAAACAAACAATTATCACAAAATGCATGGTATACAATGGTTTGATTCACCAATGTGGCAAAGGCCTTTCACTGTCTATCCATAAAAAGGGAAATAATTTTTAAAATGTAAGACATTCTGCATCTTGAGTGTATACTTATTCATCCATGTGAAATTAAAGGTTACTTGAAATAAATGTGAAAGATTTATAGGATTTTCAGACCCCTGATAACAATTTTTGATGTCCTGATTTGTTGTACTTAAAGGTTATGATTTTAGCAGAAATAGTGGAATAAATTTCTGGACCTGGGATTTTGTTGCAAATGTCTGTTTAAGTCAGTTAAAAACTCTCCTGTTTCAAGATTGCATGATTGCCACACCAGAACCTTTTGCATTCTATATTGTGCACCATGTTATGATTATGGTTTCAGTAATAAAAGGTGCTGACTCAAGAACTTTGCAAAATATCTCTACATACAAAGAAATAGATTATGGTTATGTACTCCAAATAGCAGGTCACATCAGTCTTTTGTAAGGAAGTAGCAGAAATTGCTATGGTGGTTTTGGTGGATGGAGAGAAACATCCACCAAAACCACTTTATTCTATGTGTTATGAGTTATGATAATCATTATGAACGTTTGGTCGGTCAGCAATTGTGCACCATAAAAAATAATTAGCCAGAGCACTAACTGCTAATTATTGGTATAAATCTTTTGTCTCCCTGAACATCTAACAGTGGCTAAAGCTAAAATTAAAAAAAATATATTGTTGATGGTTTTGGTCAAAGTTTTGGTGGATGTTCCCTAATGACATCCACCAAAACTACGTAACATCTGGGCACCTTTTAAATACGTGAAATATCTGCATAAAATTGCGTAAAATGTTTTATAATACTGCAATCGAACAATAAATTAATACTTACCATTTCTTGAGTAAAAAGTTTTGACACAATTTCCCAAACAAATAATACACTTAGGTCATCGGGAAAAGTCGGCATGTTGTCGTAGCTTCGTAATTTTCATTTAGTATAACAAGTCATGAGTTGTCCATCATTCCATCTCAGTCCCTCTCGACCAAGGTGGTTTTGGTGGATGGAATCTAATGCTGACCAAGTAAATATGGCGACTTTTTTCACGAAGAAAACGATGGAAAGTGGTCGTTCTTCGCGTCCTACAGGACATTCGCGAGCTCAGGTAAAGGTTACGTCTAATAGTGAAAAAGCCCTATTTTCAAGATTGATTTGCGGCCTCCTATTTTATCATGGAAGGCTTTATTTAACGTATTTGAAAGATCGTAAACTGAAGAAAATTTTGAGGGGTCGGCACCGATGAAAGCATGAAACACACGGACAGCTCAAAGCATGGAAGTGAAGGTAAGTGAAGGTATTTGGATGAAACTATAAAGGAAGTACAACCGAAGATCTTTGTTATTTTACCTCTATTCCGCGGCTCGACGAATAAACGAAACGGTGAAAAAACTTTCGCTTCGTAGTGCAGTTGCATATTATTTATCAACGAGAGGTCGGCACGTAGAATTTAATTTATTTAAACTGCCAAAAAATAAGATTTTATTTCAGATCCCATAAATTTCTTTGTATCTTCGGGAAGCCATTTTGAAAGTAATCTTTGATTGACGTACGGTATTTGAGACGCAATATGACTCGCATTGCTGGTAATGCGTACGGCTT